GAAAGAATGTGAGCAGGAAGACTGGACTCATATCGCTATATCATCTCAGGATGATGATAAGAATGAGTGGTCTATTAACCCTAACTTGGTTGATGATTTTACACTTCAAAAGCCTCTCCCCAACCCTCAGATCACTCTCTGCCAGAAATAGTCCAGATGCATTCATTCATTCTGAAGGAAGCTCAGTCAGGTTTTCAATAGTACAGTGAAGCATTGGAGCTACCTACCTGTATATTTGCCCAAGGCTACCTGGGCAGTTGGAATAGCATTCATTTGAACGATGTTGTACAAGTACAGCTCAGTGTTTCTGTTGCTTTTATCCTGCAGGGTTGAGCACACCCAGTGGGCATAGCCTTTTGCTCCCTCAGCCTCAAGAAACAGACAAACAAAAACAGGAGTCATTAAAACAGTGAAATACCTGAAAAGAACAGAATTGTTATTGCAATTTTTAAGATAGAGCCTCAGTTAAAAATCAGTCAGTGCTTTCTTTTACAGAATCACAGAATGGTTGAGGTTGGAAGGGACCTCTAGAGATCATCTAGTCCAACCCCTCTGCTCCAGCAGGGACACCTAGAGCACAGGGCACAGGGTGGCATCCAGGCAGGTTTGGAAGATCTCCAGAGAAGGAGACTCCACAACCTCTCTGGGCAGCCTGTTCCAGGGCTGCCACCCTCACAGTAAAGAAGTTCCTCCTCATATGGAGATTAAACTTCCTATGCTTCAACTTACACCTGTTACCCCTCGTTCCTGTCACTGGCCACCACAGAGAAGAGCCGGACCCCATCCTTCCCACAATCACCCCTCAGGTACTTGAACATGTTGATCAAATCTCCTCTCAGTCTTGTCTTCACCAGACTGAACAGGCCCTGCTCGCTCAGTCTTTCCTCATATGATAGATGCTCCCATCCCTTAATCCTTTTCATGGCTCTATGCTGGACCCTCCCTAGAAGCTCCATGTCCCTCTTGTACTGGGGAGCCCAGAACTGCACACAATACTGCTGGTGGGGCCTCTCCAGAGCTGAGCAGAGGGGCAGGATCCCCTCCCTCGACCTGCTGGCACTGATCCTCCTGATGCAGCCAGGAGCCCATTGGCCTTCTTGGCCACGAGGGCAGCGCCAACTCATGGGTAACTTGTTGTCAACCAGGACTCCCAAACCCCTCTCTGTAGAGCCACTTTCCATGAGCTCAACCCCTAATCTGCACTGGTGCCTGGGGTTACTCCTCCCCACATGCAGGACCCTGCACTTGTCCTTGTTGAACCTCATGAGGTTCATCTCTGTCCACCTCTCCATCCTGTCCAGGTCTCTCTGAAAGGCAGTGCAGCCCTCAGGAGTGTCAGCCACTCCTCCCAGTTTGGTGTCATCTGCAAACTTGCTGAGGGTGCCCTCTGTGCCCTCGTCCAAGTCACTGATGAACAAGTAGAAGAGCACCGGGCCCAGTACTGACCCCTGTGGGACACCACTGGCCAGCGGTCTCCAACCAGACTCGGCCCCATTTATTGCCACCCTCTGGGCTCTGTCATCCAGCCAGTCCTCAATCCACATCGCTGTCTGCTGACAGTGGACAATCCACTGTCCACTGTCCATTTAGTGTTATTTATGTAAGAACACTAAATGGAACTACTAGCAGCACAGTTGCTACAACTTGCTATTTGGGCAAGAGGATTCCCACTGCACTACTGGAAGGATGACAGAAGAATTATAAAATAAAGTAAGATTTATCCACTTTTTCTTCGCACTCATGGTACTGACAATATCTTAGCTCTCTCTTGGGGCGGTTGTAATTTATGCATTTGATTTCAGTCTAGTTCTGTGGAACATCAACAATGAGTTCTTATCACTTGTGAAGCAGATTTCTCATAGTATTGAAATCAAAGCATTCATTAAAATAACTGCTTGCTTTGCGGTGACAAAGTAGGCCAGAGACAACATTCTGAAATTCAGACAAGGTCCTAACTGTTCTGTCATTCAGTATATGCCTATTAAAAAAAAGTCACCTGAGTAGAGAGATTAGTGAGGTATGTATAATCTTAATGACAAGACAACTATTGTACTTACATGCATATTAAGTTCAGTTGTGTGCCTGAAGAGATCCATCGTATCATAGCTGCCTACTTTCTCTGCAATAAGAGCCTACAGAGAATTAAGAGTTGGTGTGATCAAATACTTCAAAAATATGACATTGAAAAGAAATTCAGAATACATCACTTTAAATACAGCTTAAGTACACACAGAGGCATTTTCTTTTCTCGTGCCCTCCAAATAACATATTGTTTTAAAGAATAAAATGAACAACATCAAAGTGAGCACAAGCAGTCTGCACTGCATCAATACTTGAAATTTAAGCTCTTCTGCTACTGCTTAACATTCTTTAAAACAAAGGTTTTCTTTCTTATGTTAATAAAAGTCTTTAACAATATCTGTTAGGAGTTGAGTTTTGGCATGTGACTGTGCTAGTTCCTCCCTAGAATACAGTTTCAAGCAGATATTAGCAGATCAGCAATACGGGATTATAAAGGGCATGTGTGGCGATGACAAAACACAAATCACAGGGTATTTCTACTAATCATTGTCAGATTACAGATGGCCTAGATATCCATAAGATATTTTCCAATCTACAGTGGTGGGGGAAAAAAGGACCTATAAGAACTGATTTTGCACCAGGTACATTGCAGACTTACTGTTTTACTTCTTACTGAGCAGGGTAAAGCAGGGCCAAATAGTGAGTTTATGATACAGCGGATGTTTCTGAAGTAACTATTAAGATAGTGCTTCGTTGAGAAAGCTCAAAACAAAGCTTCAGAGCACAGAACAGTGTTTTTATACTAGCTAGTTTCTTACACAGCTTCACAACATCATCAGCCACACAAAATCACTATACAAAGCCATCTGAGCTTTCAGTTGCTTTCTCTACACGGCACTATAGAAACCCAGGGTCTAATCCACCACCCGAAGAAAGAACTCCTCTGCAAAAATTTCCATTTAATTTTTAGTGTCAATAAAGAATAATTAAGATGCAGTGTAAATCCTCTCTACCTTGTCTAACAACTACTTTTGGTGCACAGTTTCATGATTTCCTCATGTCTTACCTGCCCTATCCAGCACTGTAAGTAAGAAGGCTCCAGAGACTGGGCTATCTTGAAGGCTTCATGAGCTTGCTGTAGAATCAAAGATAATTCTGTTGAACTGTCTGGCATGGTAAGAGGGCATGGTTGAGTATACACAGTTATGGATATGTAGTAATGGTTTTTACGGACAAAATTAGGTAATTGCTAAAAATATCTACTGTGCCATACCAAATAACGCACAAACCAGGAAAATTAAAGAAGTTTAGTCTAACTGAAAAGGTCTTTATAAGACTAGAATTCCTTCCAAATCCACTTCTTCTCATAACAATAAAATCACTTAATACGCCAAATTAATTCTTAGAACAGCTAGCATTTTAAAGCCAGGCTTCAATTTTGGAAAACTCTTCCATGAAAACAGATAAACAGACATCTTTTCAAAGTTGTTAAGCTGATTTACCACCTGCAAGTGATGTGTTTTGCTCTGGCTTGCATATGGTCAGAGTTCTTCCCTCAAAGCAGCACAAGGTCAGCAAAGTCTTAGCATAAATGGCCTTAGAGGTAAGTAATCTGTAGGATCAAATTATTTTTCTTAAAAATAATTCTCAGTCTGATCACCACACTTCTCACATCAAACAATCTCAAAAGGAGTTCTCTAATTCTGAGCAGGTCTAGACTTCATTTAACTATGCTGTAATTTTTCTCCAGAGAAATTCTGAAGTTTAAATAAACTGTAGCAAATATTAAGATATGTTGATAAGCAGAAACTAGCTACCTGTGGGAAACCTAGATAATTAAGTTCAGTTTACTTGTGATTGACAACAAAAGAATTCTACAAACTAGGTGTATATTGCCTTGACTAGCTACTTATCCATTCATTGAAACAGTTCTTATATTTCATAAATTGATTTAAAAAATCAACTTCAATAATTTATGAGAAGATTACTCAATCTCATCTACTCCAAAACAAACATTTAACTCATCTATACAACTCAGGCATGGTACAGCTGCACACTTTATTTAGTACAAAGGAGGCATGTTTCTTGAAACTGAGAAGCATATTGTCACTGTTTGCCCATACTTCTGCTTCTACATACTCCCTTAAAAAAAAAAAAAAAAAAGTGGGGGGAAGATGAGAAAAGGGAGAAAGGGAGTTACCTCAATGTTTTCGGTTACTAGATACAAAACTCCCAAGTTGGTCCAGGCAACAACATTCTAGACAGAAGAAATAAAGTTTAAATCAACGTATTATTGCTATATTCAAAAATAACTCTGTAGCAGAGGAAAAGCAGTTTTAAATGCCCACTTGAAACAGATGGTAACTGCCTACAGCACTTACGTTTTGCTCAGCCTGAACAGATTTGATAAACGAATGTTGAGCAAGAGCATAATTTTCAATAGCTGGAAAAGACAGAAGAGCTAGATATAACTGAGTTTCACGAACAGCATTAATCAACTTGCCTTCTAAATTAGGACGCTGAAGACTTACCACTACAGGAAGCAACTACACCAAGTGCATTCCAGTAAAGATGATTTTTGCTGTCAAGCCTCACAGATTTTTTAATACACTAGAAGAGAATCAAGTGTGAATTACATCAGTGGGAGAGCAAAAATTACGACTTCAAGCACTTGCTTATGCAGAGACTTAGCTTCTACTAAGGACAAAGACTAGGCAAAAAGGCATCAGAGCCAGTTTAAATTTTATAGACATATATACTTGCATAAACACACATAAGGGAATACCTGTAAGGATTTCTCTAACAGTTCATTGGTCTCGTTCACATCAGTGCCCACTGCTGTTAGGTGCTCTGCTTGTCTATAATAATTTATTCCTAGATCACACCATATGCTAGGCAAAGGCGTCAGTTTTAAAGCTCTGCCGTAACACCTACAGAAATGTGAATCAGAGAAGCATTATTCATAGCCTCTTCATGAGCAGAAAACTGAAAAAAACACATAAATCAAGTAAACATATATAAATACAAACAAAAAATAGACAAGAACAGAAAGTCAGTGACAACTGGACAATTACAAATGGTGCAGGACTGAAAGTTATCAAACACAATTTTTGTTGTTGTTGTTGGTGGTTTAATTCAAACAGTTTCCTTTACAGAATCTACTCTGACCTCAAGACAGTCTGCACTGCCCACCAGTTGTAAAGCCACAGACATATAATATATCCAAACTATGTTAGGTGTAGTATGTATGCTTCCAATTAAAACAATCACTACATATGCCATTTCAGTCATTCAGGAGTTAATCAGATTTCACCTAGGAAGTTTGTTATTTGATGCAGTCCTCTGGAAAGCAACCTCAGCAATTGATCAAGAGGTTATCATGTCATGGTAGAGATTTACAAAGCTGTTTTTCTTCTCTATCTCAGTTTACACAACCAACTGCACAAAGCTCAGAGGGACCCAAAGAAGGGGCTACAAGAATCCTATAAATATATTCTATTGACATGAGCTTCCAGGGCCAGGAACAAAGAACTTCTGATGTAATCTAGATCCAGGATGTAGGGCTAGAATTGATGACATTTTTATAAGAAAGCTTAAGAGTATCACCTTGCATGTGATAGCTCTGAGAGAATTAGTTAGCATCTACTGCAACTTCTCCATTTAAAAGGGTACAATTCACTGAATGCCAGACAGAATGCAGGCATGCTCTGCAGACAGGGGCAAGGAGCAGAGCTGGTGCTAAAAACACAGTGGCAACCCTAGAAACACACCCTGAAACTAGTGATGTGATTTGGAAGAAGTGTGAGGCCCTATCCATCCACTCCAAATCTTCACTCAAATCTGCAGGTGGGGAGAGCATATGTTTCCTTCTGCTTCTTCTAGTCTAGGATACTTAAGACCCCAGTAGTGGGCGCAACTGGTTAGAAGTGCTTGAGAACAAACATTCCTACCTTCCTCCCAGGATGAGCAGCTCGCTTTTCTGCAGGATCTGTTTGTCTGCATTTTCACCAAGAAGGGATCCTAGAACTTGAATTTTCACTTTGGTTGGTGAAAAAACGTGCACACTAGTACATATATCTCCAAGCAGTTTCCAGAGGGAAGACATATCAGGATGGCACTTTGTTGCCCTGTAAATTAGTAATTTTAAGCAAATGCATACAAAATATTGCAATGTTCAGACATTGCAATACTCTTTTCTGAAACAAAGTTCATACCTTTAAAGAATGGCTCAATTTCAAATTTAATTAATCAATAAGCTATTTGATATCTGAATTTAGTATTCTTCCTATTTATGTTGCAACTTTAAGAAGTCAAAAATACATTAAAACATAGGGAAAAAAAAAAACCAAGAGAGATAGAGAGACTACAACATGCCAATGTCTCTCAACTTCGAGACCAAAAGTCAGCTCTGAAAATTAGCCATTATTTAGCAGCATATCAAAGAACTACACCCACAATTGCATTTCAAAGCATCATCATATTTATTACAGACATAAGCAATTTTCAGAGGCTTGAAGGAGGCCTCTCCTAAAGGAACAGTTATGCCACAGTTTAGCTTAAGGTACTACAGCAATCCTGTCTGAAAAAGAAAGAATAAGATTGTAACAGAGATGAAACAACCTCCTCTCTTCCACCAGTTCTGGTAGGACACCCTCCCCACCAGTCCGATCTCAAATATAAAACATGAGAGCAGCAGAGAAATGTGTGTGTGATTACACACTTATGCTATAATCAAAAGACTCAGTATTTTCAAATGGAAGACAAAAAAAAAAAAAAAACATGCACAATTCTGCAACCACCATTCATTCAAGCAATCTAAGTCCACAATGCAGCATTCATGCCATTTTCAGCAAACACATGCTTATTTCTTGATTAAAGGCTTAGACCATTTGATTTAAAGTTTAAGTGAAAGTTCCCTAACATTAGACTCTTCTGCCTTCCAGCCCACAAACCCACTGGGAATTAAATATTTTAATATGTAATACTAACCTGGTAGAAAACTCAAGAGCCAGCTCTAGGTAATCCATGGCCTTCCCATCAAAATACTCATCAAGGGCTGATTTTGCCAACATGAAATAGCACTCACCAAGTCCTGCAAACAAACAAACACCTCTATGAAATATAACAGAAGAAATTCACAGGGACCTGGGTGGGGAGGGGGATAGTATAGGCAACACACTTGATGGAATGTGTTTATGTCCTCTCTAAACACTTCACTAGAGAAATAGCAACATCCACCAACACCTACAGACTAGAAATATATGTATGCACTCTGCTAGACAACTCCTTTGCAAACTGCTACTGCCCTCAACTGATGCCTTCCTGGCTGAAAAAAATCAGTAAATCTACCTACCTGCAATTCTCTCCAGCTCTATCATGGATTTTTGCCACACCACTTTAGTCTGGCATATTCCAAGAGGAGAAAGTAGGGGAAAAACTATCAGTAGCTTTTGTAGATGAGAAGCTTTTACTTGGGCAACACTAACCCAACACTTCTGTTTCAGTTTTGCAATAACTATCTGACATTTATCCAAAAGACAAAGGTCTTTTGCACAATAAAAGAACACTTCATAACTTAAAAATCCACACCTATAAAAAGGATACAGCTTCTGTACAAGAAGCAACTACAATACAGAATTAGTGAGATGCACATACACAGTGAGAATGACAGAAGATTAAGTGGCATAAAGAACGTGAACAGAACAGTTGTTCATCGGCTATCAAAATGTTATATGCTCCCACTATTACATATTGAGAGGATCATGGATCAACATAAACAAGAAGGCCGTATCCCCTATTCCACCTTGTTCCAACTACATATGACACCCCTACGGCCACCTCTAACATCGGTGACACTCCTATCCAGGATAGGTTACTGCTGTTTTTAGTGACTCGAAGAAGCTAACAGGAAGGTCTGAATCTGCAGGGTTAGAGAAACAAGGGGAAGACTGCACAGTCAAGAGCAAGCAGAACACGAGCACAGACCATCTTTTAGAAACTGCAGCCTTGCTCATTGCGTATCGAATCGTATACTTAAGTGGAACTACAGCATCTTTAGCTAGTTCCACTTTGTATCTTAAAAACCTCTACCATTTGCATAGGAATAATTACTTTCTGTACTTATTTGAAAGAAAAAATCACTCCCAAGTATCAGGATTTTAAAAGCTCTTCATATCTTGCAGGTTACTACACTTTTTTTTTTTTTTTTTCTTTTTTTTTTTTTTTTTTTTGTCACAAAACCACTATTCATCTTATACCAAACCACGCAGGCAAACCTCAATACATCTCAACCTCTTAACAAGACTGAAGCACTACACTGCGAGGAGGGAGAAAGGAGTTAACACTTTCAAATACAGATGTGTTACCTTTCAGTGCAGGCATGTAATCTTTTGTCTTTTTTAAGATTTGTTGATAGGTAGATATAGCCTCTTTGTATTTGCCCTGGATCTGTTTGATTGCTGCAGTTTTGTAAACGCTGTACACGAGCTCTGGGTCCAGCTCACTGGCCTTTGTGAAGGATTTCAGAGCTGTCATATAGCTACCTCTGCTCAGGTAGGCCTCCCCTAGAGATTCCCAGCAGTTAGCATCCTTTGGATCAGCTCTGACAGCTGCCTGCAAACTGAAGACGTCAAGATATAAAATCATTTAAATATAATGCACTACTATTTACAATAATTAAAAGAATAATTGTTCTTCGCATCAGGTATTCTCAGGCCACAGAAATAGACACGTACAACTATAGAGAGCTTTTAAAAAAGATCCAGTACCATTTTCATCTTCATAGCGCACACTATGAAAGTCTAGACTCTGTACCTAATTTTGGTTCATTCTTCAGTGCTATACTGTGCTTGTCTATGCTAAAGCTGTCACCAGGCTTGTTAGCACTGAACACTGTCATCATGAAGAAACTACATTGTGCTAATTCTGGAACTGGAGACAAACCCAGCTTGCTCATTTCCTATTGTTTGGTAAGACCAGATTATAATTAGTTAATTTATTTTCAAAACCTGCTAAGATCAAAAACTATTTTACTAGCATTTATAGGAAATTCTTTAAACTACTACTTCTCTTACTCAACCACGGCTTGTGATGGCTGACCAGTTCTCAGGTAGTAGAGTCCACGACGAAGCCAGGCCCATTTTGCTGTCCCAGTACTTGCTTTTTCTGTTACCTCATTCAAGATTGACAAAGCAGTGTCCTAACAAAGCACCCAAAAAACACCAGGTTATATTTCTAATCCACTAAATCATTACCCTGTCTAATCCGTTAGTTACTATAATGAAAAAATGTTAGAGGCTTTTTTTAAAGCTGGCAAGCTGAGTGGCAGAGTAAAGGAGGAAATGATCACATCTAAAAATGTCTTTAACAAGTAGACAGTAGCTTCTTGCAAAGTTTGTAGAGAGAATTTTTAACTAGAGAAGGGTACAAGCCCTTGCAGCAAGTCAGATAATCTGACTCTCTAGATGCTCCAGCAGTCTGTCAAAGTATAGGTCTTTTTTTTTTTTTTTCCCCCCTTTGTATCATCATAAAGCCAACAATCCTTTTTATACAGGGTATATAAAATATTAAGAAATTTTGAAAAGTTCTCATGACTTTTTAGGTTCTTCCTCCTCAAAGGAGGAATGGAAGGAGAAAAGAAGTGGCACAAGACACACATGAAAAGAAAAGGTACTGCCTCTACAAGTTCTCTGCTGAAAAGTCCTTCCATCTAAGTAGCACTTTAAATTGCTACAGTGTTATACTTTACTGCTCCACCCTTCTCCCCACAGAGCTATAACTCAAAATTGAAGCATAAAATTGAAGTAGTCCAGCTACAAAAACAATGGGAAACACCAGGTTTCTGATTCTGTTCTGAAATACAGGAGAAGCCTGAATTGATTCTTCTGAAAAACAGACTAACAGAAACCCAAAACATCAGTAATCCAAAACTATGTACAATACCATGTCTTCGAGTTCCACACTCAAGTCTACAGCTGCAGATCCCGATTCTTCATCAGTTCCATCTAGTTCAAAAGCCTTTTTATAGCAGCCACGAGCTCTACTTTTGTCTCCAGCAACATCTCTGTAGTAGTTACCTAAACAGCAAAAGACACTTCCCAAGTAGCTGTCCAATTTTGCAGCCTATAAGGAATAATAGGAACATAATTCAACAGTGCATTTTGAAGGACTACAAATAGAAATCCAGTGATAATTACATGTACAGTCCCTGCTTATCAAGTTATTAAAGCAAAGTTTAAATATTCTATGTGTTACAGGAGAAGTTCAAATATTTCTAAGAAGGAGATTTAAATGACTGCAGAAAACGCCACACTTCACAACACCAAGCATTATTAACAAAGTACATGAAGTACTGTGTGTCGGTAACAAGCAGTTCCTTACTATATAACACTACACAGTATCTTTTAAGATCTTTTTCCCCCTCCCCACCCCAAAAGGGTGATCAACTTGGCAGATCAGCTTATACCACAGAAACCCACAACTGTCAAGCAGTAGAACAACAACTTCGACAAAAATGAAAAGGCTCACATAAAACGGTTTGGAATTAAAGTGCTTTTCACTTCAAATACACTGTTCAGAGCTGTTTTTACAGAAATGGAAACAGTAGGTGATGGGATGTCAAAAAAGCTATGACCAAGTTCTGAAGGAAATTTGCAGTCTCTACATTTACGCTTTGTGTACTTGCCAGTTGCCAATAATGATGTCAAACTACATTTTTTCTGTTGATATTCTTATCTACGTGCAGAGAAAAAGCCACACTGAAATACCCAAAAGATAAACATATGAATCAATATATTTTTTCAGACTTATTTCCTTGGATAAACTTTGAAACTTTTAACAGCATTCCCTTTCCCTTCTCCTTTCCCTTTCTCACTTGGTATTTTGGATTCCCCTTTTTAAGATGCTTTCAAAGTTCTAGGCTGGACACCTACAGGCCTTGACTCTACACTTCTAGAGAAAACAGATCAAGAGAACGGCCACTACATTTGAGTACCTCAAAAGCTAAGTCAATGAGGCGAAAGGAAGAAAGAAGCAGGAAGACTCTTTGCATAGCTGAACTTCCCAGTTTACAGAATCCAGAGGACTGATTAAGCAGACTGAGCAAGTGGCCTCTCACTCCAGGCAGTGAATTTTCTACATCAGCTTCTGATACAGGAAAATGTTAATTCTGCATGAATAGCTGAAGAAGCTTTTACCTTCAAGAAGTGTGTCAGGGTTTTTCCCTTGTCTTTTTTTGTCTCATCATTCATGAACCAGTACGTGAGACCCAGGTACTGATGATACTCTGCAATTTCATCCTTTCTTTCAATAGCATTTTGAAAACTGAATAGAAGAAACAAATACCAGATCAGATAAACTAACATAAACTGAACCACACCATATTCTATTTTCCACCACATATCCCCATTACAGAATCAAATACAGTACCTTCTTTCTGCCTCTTTATAGTTCTTTTGGGAATAGTGGATGAAACCCTCAAGAGCATGGGCCTCAGCCAGATCAGGGTGGGACAACAGCAGCTCGTGTGAAATCTGCAAAAGGATATTATTCTTCCCTGGTTATTTCCATATGAAATTTAAACGTTCTACGATGCTTATATTCTACAACACTATACAAACCTTTGAAGCTTCTTCCATTAAGCCTTTGTTTAGATAAGCCTGGCCTCTGAAAGCTAAGAGCACTGGATCACTGCCCACATCCACAATCTAGAAAACCAAAACGGACACAATCAAATTATTCTCTTTCCAGATTAAGGACTCAAAGGTATTCAAAGCATACATATTGCATGACAGTAAGGACAGGAGGAAAAAAAAAAAAGAAAAAAGAAAATCACCATTTAAATTTAAAGAGCAGACTGCCGAGAAGGTTTTTTGCTGGAAAATAAGTAGCAGAGCACAGAGAGCAAGGACAAAGCTGCAGAAGTCTAAACAGTAAGTGCATACACTAACTCATGCAGCGTAACAGAGGGGAACACGGAGCAAGAGAAGCAGCCTCTGCCAAACCTTTCCCAGCAAATCTTCAAGCAGTTCGCTCTTCCTTTTCAAAAAGTACACAGAGGACAGGAATAGCATTATAACGATATTTCAAAAATAAATACAAGCCACACAGCTAGCAAGTACCCAGGAACATTTGAGCAAGACAGGACAAAGTCAAAAATGACAGCTTCAAAAAAAAAATTATAGCACCGCCTGAAAGAGGGGAAAAAATAAAAAAAGACTGCTTTCTCTGCAGTAAGGAGTAAGGAAGGCAAGGTAAGTAATGGTAAGGAGCAGTCCAAGTATTACAGAAAGCAGAAAGGAGGGGTAAGAAATGCAGTTTGGGTTTTTAGTGCACAAAGCCAAGAGTATGTTTTTGTAAAACAATGTTTACATCAATGAAAATACCTGTTCAAGTGCATTAATGGCCTCTTCTGCAGCATCAGCATTAGCTATTTTAATCAGAGCCTCTGCTTTCAACTGAAGAATAAGGTTTTTCTGCTCAAGACCAGAACTCCCAAGAGGTCCAAGAGTTTTGAGAGCTGTTGGCAAGACAAAGTTTCATCAAGTAAAAATGAAAAAGAAACAATAAAGAGGATCACTGTTCCCAATACTTTAAAATTTTTGATTTAAAAAATTGTAAGTCTAAGGGAGCACCAGTTAGAGTTGATTCTTTATTTGGTCTTTCCACCTTATTTTTTAAAAAACTGCTTTGTAAGTTTTCTACACATGTAATTTCAAAACTTCCATCAAATTTATAAAGGTGTTCTCATACATATAAGAGAAGCTGGATGTTTTCTAGGCACTGCAGTACTATAAGTGGAACGCTACATTTCTCAGATCTAAACTCTGAAGAAAAAGCAGAATAAATAAAAAGGATTTGTTTCAGAAATAAATCCTTCTACATTTCAAGCTTAATTGAAAAAACTTAGTATTAACATCAAGGATTTAACTTTGTACTTGCAACTAAATCATGGGTTACTTCTACAAAGTGTCATCTTGCTCATTTTGGAGAACAATGACATTTCAGTTGAGCTTCAGCATTCTCCAAAGGCAAGTACTTGCTGAAAAACCCCAGTTAACACTATTTTCACAAAAAAAAAAAAAAAAAAAAAAAAAAGTTTTGTCTAACCTGGTACACTCAATCTATCCTATTAATCCACCTCTAAATATATATGTCTAGAAACAGTGCGAGACCCAGGCAAGCATATAGAAATACTTCCTCCAAATTCTCTTACATTCCACCAACTTTCAAATTAGTGAGTGCCTAAAGCAGTATTATTATTTACCCACTTAAAAATTCTTGTCTGATTTTTCTGTTGTGAATTTCTCCCCTCACTCTTTGGAACTCAAACTTACAGCATTCACCGCATCTTTTAGCAAGGTACCCCCTAGCTTAACTACACTTTGCTTTAAGAGACAAATTTAATTGTGTTTGTTCTGAGCCTGTCAGCTTCCAGAGCTGCTTGATACTATTCCTTGCATAGGAAAAGAAAACCTTTGACCTCTACTTATTCTATTCTACTTATTTCTTACACCATTTGTAATTCCACAGATTTAAACTTCTTCTCTAGGTGGGGTGGGGGCAGGAAAAAAGCACATGCTGGGCTACTTAGTTTCTCTGATATTAAGCACTTCTCATATCTTTGATCATCCTGTTACCCTTCTGTCGACCTTTGCTATTACTTCTGGCATTACTCCTCAGTCTGTGAGATAGTGTGGGTTGGTATCAAGACTGCACACACAATACACCAAATAGGAAAATTTCTCAATGCTTTGTTCTTTCATGTTCTGTTTCACTAACCATCCCTTCCCTTATAATTCCTAACACTTGACTTGCTTTAAAAGCTCCTGCTAAGTGTGCAGGGGGAAAAAAAAAGTCCTATTTTTCCCAAACAAAATGCTCTCTCTGTCTATTGCAGATGCTAGTAGAGCTTTATGAGAGCATTCCTTCCAAAACCCGCATGACTTTGCATTTATGGCTCTGGAATTTCATCAGCTATTTTAAAAGCTAGTCATCTACTCCAATAACCTTCTTTTACAATTTTGTTAGTCAGCTCCAATTGCATCACCAGCAGACCTGGTGACCTTATTATCTCAGGTTCATAACTGACTGGAAAAGATAAACACCACAGGTTCCAGTGAAGATGGTATGGAGATCTTTCTGGATCTTTAACTTATTAAAAGAGAAAAAACAAATGAACACCCCCTCCACCCCCATAACAGTGCTAGAACTCCACTTTTTCTTGTAAAACTTACCAACTACATCTCAGAAATCAGAAGCAGACTGTATCACATGCCCCTTATCCACCTGCTAAAAACTCCCTCAAGGAGTTCTAAAAAGCGACTTCAGTTTATAAAAGCTACTCCTCAAAAACATTTTTACATTAATTTCCAAATTTTACCCTTTTAGTTTTTACTAATTTATCCATTAAATACATTAGATTCTAGTTTATAGTTTCCCAGACCTCTCCTAGAACCCGTTAAAAAGGTAAGGCTGCATTAAGTAGCTTCCATTTCTTTGGGTACCAAGACAATTTAAGCAAAAAAAAAAAAAAAAACATAAAATAGTTAGCACTCCAGCATCTTTATGTTCCTTTATGATTCCTACGTGAATATTTCACACTCATCCAACTCTTGTTCTTCCTCCCATTTCTTTTACAGCAACTTCCACCAATGCTTTAATAGCGGACAAGATAATCCTCTCTAGTAAGCACTTCACTTTTTGAATGCATCCCCCTTGTTTTAAATGGTTTTCCATGACTGTTAAGCCAGGCCTGCCTACCTTACTTCTTCAAGCTTTTCTTGAGAAGCTTTTCACTCTATTTGTCCTTATCAGCAAAGAGTACACTTTGGCCAACCTTTTGTTTATAACCATCAAGTAATCACAGTTCTTTTCCAATTAGATGAGCATCACTAGCTCAGAACGACTGCCTTCATTGCCAACCAGCATGGGGGAAAAGTTACTATCAAGGTAAAGTTTGTTAAGATGTTGCACTGTGCAACATCCTCTCACCTTTTTTTAAAAAAAGATTAATTTGACTAGAATCTTATTTGGTAAGACTAACTATGAAGTCTCTTAGTCTAACTATGATGTCTAAGTCTTTGACCAAAAATTTCTGACACCTATACCTGTGGTCCCAGGCAGCTATCAGCTGTTTGGCCCAGTTTTTTAGTTTTGATTATGTCAAGCGGTGTACCGCTGTATTTGCTCTTTCAATTACCTTGATTGCAGGACAGGACAGCTTCTTTGTGCCTGTGCATTTTTATCTGTGCCTGTGCCAGATAATACCATCCTGAGGGACACTGGTTAGTCTTCTGTAAACCTAAGAGAAGACAAAGCTGTTCAGGGCTGCAAAGATGCTGTGGATGTTGTATTACGATCAAAAACATTATCAGTAGATAAACAGAATAAGACCCACAGTTAATAATTTTTGAGTCTTAGTTTAAAACTGCTCTCAACTTACACACCCTCCAAAATAAGGTAAAAGGAAGAAAAGTATAAGCTTTTGCTACGCTTAGTTTCGAGGAACCTAAGGAAGTTCAACAGAAAGAGTCCTTCACCTAAGGAGAAATAATCTCATGCACCAGCACAGGCTAGCCTTGACCTGATGGAAGCAGCTCTGCAGTGAAGGCCCTGTGGCTTCCCAAGAACAACAGGTTGACTGGATGAATTCTCCTTTCCTTGATGCAATTGTTATTGCCATTTTTACTGCTTCATCTATATAGTTTCCAGTAACAGTCTAATTAAGCAACTTTAAGGATGAAAATACCACAGAGCTCACTGTAATAGCAGATAGCAACAACGGACTTTGGAGAAGTTATACCTAAAGCTACATTTAACAATCATCTAAATCGTAAACCAGTCAAGGAGCTGAGTATTCCTTTACAAACTAGAGGGTCTTTTTGCAACTCCCAGCAGAACCAACAAGGTATTTTAAGTATAAAAATCCCTCAAATTATCCCTCCCAAAAATCCCTCCCTTGACCCATTGCTGGTCAAGCAGGAGAATCTATATTTCATATTATATACTTACCTTCAGTAAGGCTCTTAACAGCCTCTTCATATTTCCTTTCCTGGAGGCATTTTATACCTGAACCAATAATGCCTGGACCACTACTCGAGTCCATCTCCAAAAGTCTAGAAAAATAGTGCAGGGCCTCTTCAGTGAAAGTACCTAGTTTCAGGAAGAGAAACATTTTGGAGAGCTGAAGATTTAAAACAAAAGTCTCCAACAAATACTTTATCTACAAGAATAGATGCCCTTAAAAATAACATCTCTCTTTTCAGCTCAAGGTAACAAGCTTTTAAAATCTATTGCTTTTGTTTCCAAAAGCACTACATGCATAGCAGGGAAAAAAAAAAAGTGGCAGTAACCTAAATACTCCTTGACTCCAAAAGCTAATGGACAGTCCAAAATCTAAGTTTTATCCATCACGTTAAATTACTACACACATACTTCCTTAATATACGATCCTTAAGCTTTTTACCTAAGTCAAATGCCCTAAGCCACTCTGCCGCAAACAAACCAAAATAATTTCATTCCAGAATAGGTGTTACCTGTCTACCAAATCACTGTGATGAGCTTGTTGAACAGTTTTACTGTCAAACCACTAGTTCAACATTTTGGCTTAACTGTAACTGATTCCAGTATTTTACGCTAGCATTCAACTTTGGTTCTATTAGTCCTTGTTCAGAGCAACTGCAATGATTTGCAGCAACAGACTTTGAACTGCTGTTAAAACAAACTCATTTGATGGTCCTTTTTGACTTCACACATTACCAGCATTGCATTTAACTAAATATATACATTTAGTTAGAGTCACCATCATGTTAGAGCCAGTTTCATTAGAAATCTAAAGAAATAGCAAAACACTTATCACAGACAGAATACAGCACAAAAAACATAAACAACATGCTGGCATGGGGCCCTGACAGACAAAAATTTGACACTTTCTGAAAGTGGTCATAACGGTAACTATAAAAAAGTGCTATTTTAAGCACCAAAATATCTAAAACCATCCTACTTACCTGACTGAATAAAGTGCAAGCAAAGTACTTCTAAAGCATAACTCACAGTAGGATATAAAGCCATCATATCATCACAGGTCTTCTTCAATCTAATTATTTCATGAGGAAACTTGAAAGGGGAAAAAAAATGTATGTAAATTATCAGATGTGGAATGTTATGCCTACATACTGAAGAAAACAGCATAAAAAACCTTACTTTTGATAAACACTGAATAAAGTCTTTGTAGAGATTTTGGTGCTCTTCACTGGGAACACTGTCAGAAGAGTTCACTGCATGTTCAAATGCAGTCAAAAGCTGAAATAAGAAAAAAATAGGAATGCAGCAAGCAATAAATCTAAGCATGTATCCTTCACAGTGAAGTGCATATTTCAACTTGTTACCTAGATTTAGTCATGAAGTTTATACACAGTGTAAACAGAGAAATCTACAAAAGAATCAAGTTTTATGCTGAAGTAGTACTCAAACCCACACCCCAAGTACATTAGTCTGCCAGTACTGAATGAAATCATGTATTACAGTATAGCAGGAAATAGCACAAGGAAAGCAGAAATCTGTAGGAAGCTAGATTCTTCCTTGTCCCTAACTCTACATCCAAAAGAGGATTTGGTACCAAAATACCTAAGTATTGCCTAGGCTTTGCTGTCAGCCTTCTACCCATCGCCACGAAGAAATCTAGTCTTATTTCTTGACCTCCCTACATACATGGAAAACTATAAGCTCCATAGAATGGGAGCAATAAAGCTAGTACACTGAGAAGCTGCCCATGCTTTGTTAGAAGTGAGATGCTGAATAGATAGTTGTCTTCAATCAGGTTCATGTGTTAGAAAAGTCAATTAGTAGATGAAACCCATTCCTGAAGATTTATATATATATTTTTCTAAAAACCCTTTTCTTTTTTTCCTTTTTAAAACCAAAGAAAAAGAGCAGTGCTGCAAGCAGCACCTCTTTTCTGTAACAACCCTTAACTTAGAGCACTTGCCACCTCTGATGGTACAAGATCCAGATCAAATTTCTTCTGCCTAAAATTAATTTGATTTATATCTTCTACATGTCTAAGGCATGGCTACAAAATAAGCTGGGGAAGAGAAACCTCCACCTTTTTTGCTGAAGCAAGTTTGTTTTGGGGGGAAAGGGGGAGGAATTATTAGTTAGTTCTGACATTCTCTTAAAGTGGGATCTCACAATCCAGAGAAGATGATTTAAACCCAAAGGCTGCCTGTCTAGGCTAAGTACTTTTAACTGTTCAATCCTTTTGAGGCTCTTGCAGAAAGTTTCCCATAGGGCTGGAAGAAATAGAAAAAACAGTGCAAAACTACCTTCTCAGTGTATGTGTGCAATAGAGGTTATTGCTTTGAAGAACACTGACATTCTAGACTGACAGAGTTTATGAGATAGGAGTTGGCTCAGCCATGATGTTTCTGGTAACATGCAGAAGCAGAGTAATGTGTCACTGTGTTACAGTGTTAACCTGGGTTTCTACACAATTTTAGCTGGCAGTTAATGAAGGAGCCCTGGAACAATCATTTTCATTTAGGTGCTTTATTTCACACAAGATTTTTTTTCAGGGATCTTAGCCCTTAATACTTCTGTTTCCAAACATCTCAGATGCAAGAAGACAAAAAAAAAAAGTCTACATTTTCTTGAATAGTTCAATATGACTGAATGTTAATAACAGACACAGTCACACAGTCATAGGGAGCAGGGGTGTTGGACTAGAGGTCCCTTCCAACCGCAACCATTCTGTGTGGGATAAGACCTGCATGATTTTTAAGGCTTCATATAAAGTACAGTCACATTCTGTATGTACATATCTAGACATGTAGGAGTGATAAATATTACCAACTGCTCAGTCTCATTATCCTGATTTTGCGTACTGTCTGCTAGTAACTGGATCATCTTCTTCCAAAGTTGATGAAGCTCTGCATTATCTGCACCTCCCTCCTTCTTTACTTGTATAAATTTGTGCCATGTTCGAGCCACCTGTCAAAAGGATACAAATGAATCACCCTGCAACTTGTTCAAAAAGACCAGAGGTCTGATACGAGCTTTTCAATTAACTGTCAGCTCTAAGCAATGAGCATAAGCTTTACAGATTAAGAGATCAAGCAGTAAACAGTACGTAGCAAAGAGGACTAACAAACTACCTAGGTTCATTATTTTGAATAGTCAACAGATAGCATAAATTAAATACTACTATATAACTAATATATTTCAACTTCTGCACTTACATTTGCATAATATACAATTGCAAAGACACTCTTGCATCATTTCTTGAAATATTTAAATGCAAATAGAGCAATCATAGTTCATACACGGAAAACGAAAAGAATCTAGATAATGTGACCTGCTTCTTGAACCAGAAAGCTTAGCACCAGAGTAAGGTCAATAAAAGGGTGTTTTCTATAAAAAGCTGAGAAATAGTTACAGAGATTGTAGAACGGGAAGCTAACACTGGGTGGTAATGCAAGACAAGTACATGAATATTTTAAATTTGCCTAGATAGAGTATCCTTCAGTAATAACATCTTGAAAGATGCTGTGGGTGCTGGTGAAGTCCTTCCTATGGTATCTATCATATACACAGGTGGAAAATATGTTGTAAACAGCAATAGATGAATGAACTAGTAGACCCTTACCACAATAAAGGGGAAGGAGCTTACTGCCATCCTAGAATAGGCATCAGGGTGACATTTTGAGTAACCATCAGATTTACTCTCTTTCTGATTAGAACATTATAGGTTTGGAAACACTGCAAGTGGTCTTCAAGCAACAATAAAAAAAATACAGAAAGCAAAAAGCATCCCCACCCTCACCAAAAATAAATAAATAAAAGATAGTCCTGTAAACGCTGGAGAGGAGAAAAGGAAAAAAGAAAGAAAAAAGCCTTGTCAGCTCCACTGCACTAAAAACAGAGACAGAGAAACAGCAGCAACATGTGCTGAAATTTCAGTGTGGAAACACCCACAGGACTCAGAAATAAAAAGCAGAACTCTGAAGCCTAACTTGCAGATTAGTGTATACAAATGGAGCCTGGCTTTGCATGATGAATTACTGATACAGACTAGTGTTTTTGCAAGTGGTGGTCAAAATATGCCCCTGGAGCCAAAATGTAGATTTTGCTGTTAATACAACACTCAGATAAAAATTTTCCTTTTCCACTGCTGGAGGAAAGGTGGGAGCGGGAAGATGCAAGAGCATACACTGCCTTGTAAGAAACCAAACTTGTGTGAGGAAAGAAAGGGAAAGGGCATAACCGCAAGAATAGGTTTCCCATATTACCCCAGGCCTACCAGGCCAAGCTAGTGGTGAGCCTGAAGAGCCACTTACCAGGTCCACACAGAGACAAGCTCACAAGCCCCACTTACTTCTAGCACTAGCCACACTAACATGGACTTTGGGAGTGCTAGTTTGGGTTGAGGCTCTGCAGCCAGCTTGGCAGCTCCTTCTCAACTGTGTATAGATTGCCTGTAGCTAAGCCAGAGAGATTCCTGGGTGAAGGGCAATTTTTACCACAAATATCCTTCTGATCAGTAAAGAGAAAGTAAATGAGTTACCTACCTCTAAATATTTCTTTTCTTGGTGATACAGCTCCACAAGCTTGTTACATACATCACACCATTTCTGCTTGTCACCACTGGAAAGGAGGAAGAAGATCCCACACAAATAAGTTGTTTAGGTTTTCCGGTAAATAGTGAAATATGTTTCAAATTTTGTTAAATAAGTTCCTAATAAGGAATCCAAGCAATTCTTTATAATAAATACCAGAGATTACCGTAAAATAATTGCTTGTTGCTACTTTAACTGAATAGAAATGACTTTAAGGTACTGCATTGCTGTGAGCAATTGTCAATCTACAGGAAAACAACAACCAACAAACTCCAACCAGCTATGGGCTCCAGTGACAGCTGATGAGTTAGCCGTATTTATCCATATGAACTAGGTGATTTATGTTCGATATTTCTAAAGCTAGAGAAAAATAAGCCTACTTAATGATAATAACAGAGACTATGTACTATCTAACTACAGTGAGCGCTTCAAAGCAGTGATTTTAGACAGTGGATATCAGCTAACATAAGAATTTTCTGAGTTCCTAACATAAAATACATTTTTTACAAAGGCTCTACCCTTATTAAGGGGGACGGAAGTAACTGCTTTTTCTCCAACTTTACACTACAGAAAATTGAGTAGCCAACTCTTACCCTTTGAAAGGACAGTTAAAAACAAAGCAAAAATAACAACACTACCTGACAGATTAGCATATGCATCAGCTATGGCATTTGCTAGACTTTTTTTTAAAAAAATCTAGAAATTTTAGTTTTAATTGCTTATTTAATATTTTTTACCTTTCATAGAGATCCAAGAGCTTTTGGTAAACATCTGCTAAGTCTCCCTTGACATCCGTTTGGTTGGATTTCTCATATAGGTTTGCTAACCCCTTTAAAATGAAAGGCATTAGATTTTTCAAAAATAAGTAACATTTGATGCTTGCAATTCTAAGTGAAATTTATGCTGTAAGTTCTGCCTCTGAGCAGAATTTGTGGCTGCTTTCTGTACTAACTTCTGAACTAATTTATTTTAAATGAAAAGCTTGCCTCGCTTTCTTTCCTGATACTGACAACCATGTGAAACTTGTAATTATTATGTAACCTTCTTAGCATGCCACACAAAACATAGTAACAAAGCACACTGAGTCATAGGATAGACGCTTTTTACCTAAGTATTATACAGCCTCGCAGAGTAACAAAGAAAGAGAATCTGGTTGCTAAACAGCTCAAGAATTTGAAATAGAAGTCAGCCACTAAGTGTTGACCTTAAAAATGTTTATACTGAAAATACTAGAAACCTTACTACAATATTGGACTTTGGTGTCTGATCAAGAGATACTCAAGCTTCACAAGTCTCCAAATAACTATGTAATGTTCAGGACATCACACACACCCCACCTAATGTATGGTTATTCCAGATGTATATTATTGCTCTCTGTCACAGTGACAGTCAATAACACAATTCATTCCATAGTCGGGCCTGGAAAAAATAAGTTATTAGACAAAACATTTTCTTCCCTATGGAAGAAGTGTTTCTCAAGTCAAAGGCATGGCAGTTCAAATTGCCTCTAAGCATTGACAAACTTATCGTATGTGTTTCAATTATTGTGCACACTCTTCCACATGGGAAGCACACCTTACATCTACCGGGGCTGGACTGCCATATTGCCTTTGGATTAATTGTGGGCACACAGTTAATCAGAATGTTATCTACTGTGAAGCTTCACTACAATTGGAAAAACTTGAAAATCTTCACTCTATTCTGTTCCCACATTAAGCTCCACAGTAAAACACTTCATAGAAAAAATACAGTGGATCAGAGCATAAACCTACCTGCCATGCCAGTAACTGGTTTGGTTCCAGTTCAGCAGCCTTCTTATAGGCTCCTTTGGCCTGATCAGGTTGCTCCAACTCAGCAGCTGCCAGGCCAATAAATACCCAAGCATTGTAGTTATTTTTCTCTTGCTTCAAGACAGCCTATAAATATGCAATGTTAAATAAAATTAATGAATAAAATGCACCTTACAGATTCACATATTGACTCTTCTTACTAAAGTTTAATGAGCTCTTCTACTTGGAAAGATCAGAAGTTAATACATTTTTAGCAAAAGACAAAAATTAATAACTTTAGCTTTCTTATGCCAGGAAAAGGTCATATTTCGATTGCTCTACTAGTAATTGTATCTGTAACTCAGTAACTAAAGCATTCCTGTTGAACTGTTGATTAGAAATAGATTTTTATTGACATTTGCATTTACTTGCATGTGAAACAGGGGATATTAAGTATAAAGAAAAGACAAGAGGAACGGGGCTTACTTGCAGCCAAGTAACATGTGCAACTAGTTGAGATAAAACTATGTCAACGAGATGTAATTATGTCAATGTAATTATGCCAACCAGATGTCCCACACCTTCTGTATTACCATACAATTGTAGAGGCAAAGGAATAGCAAACACAATTAATAACCAAGTAATTAATTACCTTGCAGTGTTTTAAGGCTTCCTTATATTCTTTATTCCTTATTGCTTCTCTAGCACTCTTTAATGCTGCTTTTACTTCCTTATTTGACATTGTGGCTACTAAGTAGAAAGAACACATAAACAGTTCTTACTAGAAGAAACACTGCACTTGACACATCGTTTATATCCTATTGTAATTATATTCAAATAAAAGTACTCTAAGGCTTTGTGTTACAGCTATGGGTTGCACATCTGCACAAACACAGAAACAGAGCACAACAGACCAAAACATGACAAAACTATATGATCACTTCACTAGACATTGATGACAAGTAATAGGTCTCATATGCATTTTTTATGCTTAGATCCAGCATGGGGCTATTTCACTATTTCAAATAATTAAACAATTAATTAATTAAGGGGCACAGGGGGTGCTCTTCGTGCTGTGTGACCATGGTCTGCTACCACTTAACATTACAGGCTGGCCATGGCCATCCTGGCCTCACATGTTTGGGTCCTGCTTCCGACCACGGATGCACAGGAAGGGAGCGTTTAAGAATGCCCTAAGACATAGCTATAGCCACACTGTATTTTGATGCACGTGTACATATTTGTGTACATACCTGCTACATAGTCCAAAGAAAAGTTTAGAAATTATCTAAACACCACAGTCACAACCATTTAAACAGGACGAGGCTGAGACTGGCTGGTGCAGGGGCTGCTGAGACTGAACAAGTGACATGCTAGAGAACAAAGTCTTTTAAAGGCTGAAGAAAAACTACCAAGACTGGATCAAGCACCTAGCATAAAGTTAAATGGGCAGTGCCGATGCAAGACAACTCATTTTAAAGATTCCGTTACAAACTAAGGGAAACCAAAGGCCCGCGAAACTCACGCTGCTCGGCGGCTCCCCGCTCCGAGGGAGGCGGCTCCTCAAGCGCCGCGGGCGGCGCAGACCGCGGCCGCTCCCGGCTCCA